AAGTATCGTGCCTTGTATCGAATTACGTCACTTCCACTTCCACTGATTCGTATAGTAGCTCCGAGGTTTCCACCTTTGACTTAGGTCAATTCGATTACAAATCGATCATCGGTAACAAGTAACAGCCTTAAGTTTCTTAATTGTAACTCAAGTTCTTCCTGCTATATCTTGGACCCTGAAAGCCTCGAGGTACCAACTCCTGAGTTACGTCACTGCTGTTATAACTCACACTGCGAGGACCTTAAGATTCAACTTCGAATTAAATTGCATCCATTATAGTCGTTCGAATCTCGTGACTTCTGCCTTCGGCATTATCTCTAATTATTCGCGACGAGGAGGAAAAATTTATTCGTGCCGAATATCCTTCGCAATTGAGGAATTATAAATTTCATTAAAAGACGAACCATCGCGTGGCACGAGGTTATTATTATTAAGATTTATTCGTCCTTGTTTTATTTATGCTAATTCGTTTTTTATTTATTCATGAATATTCAGAGGAGCTGCGCAAATTAACTTCATGCAAATATTTTCGATTTTATCAATTATTATCCGGACATTATATTTTCGAAATTTATGTCTGCTCCAATTATATGTACGAACACGTGAATAATTCGGGACGCCGATAAAAACACGATTATTCGTGTATTTTAAATTTCCTCCGAGGCGAAGACAAAGAAGAATGTCGGTGGATTGGAAAGTTCACGGTTTCGAAGTTGCTTCAGGGAGAGGCGTTTAATAAGATATGAACCTATTCTAGAAAATTGATGAGTAAAATGGAGTATCTTATACTGACAGTTTCCGATATTCCCACGGGAGCTTCGTTAACGTTCCTCGGATAGATAGAACTGTCTAGGTAATTTCCTTAGACAAATCTTTGAGTTTCTTTGCGGTAGATTGTGCCTCGTACAGGGAATTGACTTTCGACCTACCACGACTGAAAGAAAAAATAACCAAAAATTGAAAAAAAAAAAAGGAAGGAGAAGAAAAGATATTGATCTCTCTTATAAACTTGACAATTCTTCAAGAAAAAGTATATACTATATTTCAAAAAATGAGAGAAATATCGAAGACAGAATTACGTCTACCATGATAGAAATAAAAATTTCTTCGAACCCCATAAAATTAAATAATTTAATTTTTCTTAAAATTACTTTAGTTATTCCCTTTAAAAATGATTTCCGGCGGTAAAATAACCAAAAATTGAAAAAAAAAAAGGAGAAGAAAAGATATTGATCTCTCTTATAAATTTGATAATTCTTCAAGAAAAAGTATATACTATATTTCAAGAAATGAGAGAGATATCGAAGACAGAATTACATCTACCATGACAGAAATAGAAATTTCTTCGAGCCCCATAAGATTAAATAATTTAATTTTTCTTAAAATTATTTTAGTTATTCCCTTTAAAAATGGTAGTGGTTTTCAATGGTAAATTATAATATCAAATATTGCTGTCCTGCAAGATTTAATATTTAGTTTAGTTTAATACTAAAAACTATCCAGGGAACTATAATCGACGCGCGTTAATGCAAATCGTAAGGCAAAATCGAAGAAAGCCGGGGCCCCGACGATGACAAAGGCGTCGAGGCGCGAAGTTGGTTCTCAATTGCGCGAGAAGGACGGAAAATTCCGGGAAAACAAAGGCAGGAAGAATAAATAATGAGTCTCGTTACCGTTAGTTTTCGAGCTGGCTCTTCATCACGAAAATTGGCCTCGCTGTCACGGAGGCGCAATTACACTTGGTACGGGCCGCGTCGTGACGCGTTTCACCCCAAAACCGCCCTGGATCCGAAATTACGAACTGTGCCTCGAAAGACAATCGACGGAAACCATGGAGATCTATTGTACAGAAATTGCGTGTATTAACATGATCCAGCAGAGGAATAATGATCCAGCAGGAAAGGAGACTAATCTTTATTTATTTATCGAAAAGTAAATGTATTTTTTGTACAATTATATTAAATATTTTTAGCAATCTGGATGTTGGAATACCGAGTGATTAGGTTGTTTCGTTTCTTGCTGTTTGGAGAATTTTATTGATCTAATTGGAGGAAATTAATATTAGTCGTAGAAGTTTCATTGGGGTAGTTTAAGTGGATAATGAAGAAATCGAAATGGGGATGATAAAGTTGAAATGCAAAGTGAAAGTTTCGCTACTTAGCGTTTTGGATCTCCCAAGGGAGCAGTACGATTTACTTGACGTTCTTATTCTCTGAGATTCAAGTGCAGTGGGTATACCGAGGGTATTTTATTGATTTCGAAGTAGGTTTCCAGTCCCGGTTTCCAATTTCGTTTATACGGCACTGTCAAAGGTATCTAGATTTCTTGTTCATTCTAATAAAAAGAACGTAATTAATCGCAATATGTAATAACTTTCTGCGAATTAATTATTAATTACAAAGGAGTTAAAAAGTATGGTTTACTCTCTAATATTTAACCCTTTGCACTCGGCGATCATTTCGGTACAGGACATAGTAATTCGAAAACTTTTTGCCGTAATAAGAAATGCAAATTAATTGTAAGACGTAGAATTATTTTACTTCGATATTCCAGGCATTATTGGGCAATTTGAAATTCGAGATATTAATTAATAACGTTTAGAATTTGATTAAATGGTGACTGAGAATCGCCTCTTGAATGCAAAGGGTCAATATTTTTAATTTTACCAGCAATCACTAATATTTATTTTCCAACGATATTTCAAATATTATTTAAACTCACAATTTCTTTTATTTTCCTCATTCTTCCATTACCAAAATATTCATAAAATTATCTCGTATATCATCACTAAATGAAATTTATATTTCTCCCTGTATATAGAAAAAGTGATTAATTAATTCTGCTTATGGAAAACAATTTTTCCCTATGTACGAATAAGTAAATTAATTAATTTTCTTAATATAGTGCAATTTATCCAGATCTCTGCCAAATAGATTACTAGTGTAATCACTCGAAGCAATCGTTGGGATTATTACACCCCCTATAATCGAACGCAGCCATATTTTAAGTCGGCCAGTCTCGAAAGGTCAGCTCGGTGCCCCGAAGAATGCAGCGCACGCCTAACCACTATGAATCCACATCAAACGAATTTATATTTCTCCCTGTATATAGAAAAATTGATTAATTAATTCTGCTGATGGAAAACAATTTTTCCCTATATACGAATAAATAAATTAATTAATTTCCCTAATATAGTGCAATTTATCCAAATCTCTGCCAAATAGATTACTAGTGTAATCACTCGAAGCAATCGGGATTATTATACCCCCTATAATCGAACGCAGCCATATTTTAAGTCGGCCAGTCTCGAAAGGTCAGCTCGGTGCCCCGAAGAATGCAGCGCACGCCTAACCACTATGAATCCACATCAAACGAAATGGCTGCTCCCGTGGTCGTTCGTTCCTGACGCGGTATCCTTCTGTTCTCGTTTCCGCCAACTGCCGAACGCCACCGTAAAATCCTGTCACGTGTTCCCGTCGTCTTTCCCCGGCCAAACGGATGTCCGATAATTTCCACTAGGCGACGGGTCGAGCAGTAAAAATTTTTTATTTAAACGCGTTCACCGTAAGAACGTGCCTCGCGTCTCTCGTAATTGAAAGGATTCAAGAAACAACTTCCGGAGATAACGTATAATACTTACCTCGGTCTTTCATGTCTTTCTGGGTCATCTTCAGACAGGGATTCTCGAACCGCGAATTTCGCCCCCGCAGGAAATCGCGAAAATTTTGCCAACTGCAAATTTATTTTGGTCCTCCTATATATCGTAATAATAAGCATCAAAATTATAGGTATATATATATAGCAAACGAGTGTTTAAAATTTTAATTTCACTCGCAGTTAGTATTTTAATAATTGTTTATTAATTTTACATAGTTAGGGGGGGTCAACAAATTTTGTTGGCAAAGGGAGATTGCAAATGGAAAATTTTTTGATGCAACTGTAAATGAATCGTCAGAATATTTTATGAAGATATGACGTCGGTTGGAAATAAAAAATTTTAAATAAAATAGTAGATAACTAGTATACAATATAGAAATTTAATAGAATTGCAATAGAATACAGAAATTTAATTAAAATATCGTCAATAATTCTAGAAAAATCGAGCAACGTGCTCCAATTTTATAAAATAAACGAAATTTAGTTCCAGGAAAATCCAATAGAATTTCTCTCATTTATATCTCCGGGTACCATTCTCGATCTCCATTTTAACTTCTTAACCCAGGTTTCTTTCAAATTCTGGTTGCTCGTACTTACCCAGAGACCCTTCGTCGCGCGTAAATCTACCTGACTCTCCTTCGAACACCATACTCCACACCGTGACACCACATTTAAACATCTCTCCATTCAGCTTCATTCGAGCGTCTCGAATGCGACACCCTGGGTGCTCTCGGATCAACACGGGATCTCCAGTGCAATTAAACACACCAACTCCGAGAAAGTTGTGCGAGCTTCGATTCACGCGGTCGCAAAATTCGCGCGTTCCGTCGCGACTCTTTCTCTCGCTTCTCTCGGTTTCTTTTCTATTTCTTCTTTTTTTTCTCACTCTCCGAAATGCGAAAAGCGAGGAGCAGATTGGTCGGACGGGAATTTCTCGCGATGGGGAACGCGCGGAGACGGAACTGCAACGAATTTCTCGATGGCGAAACGGCGAAACGTAAATCAGTCAGCCGCAGGAGACTCGGTCCCGCAGCGAAATTGAAGTAAAAATTCCACGAGCACGAGACGCGTGATTATTTAAGCCGTCATGCATGATGAATGGACTCGTCCACGACGGATAGCAGAAAATTTTGGATTCCGAACACGCTGGACCGCCGACGCTGTCCGTTCTCCATTCTTCTTCAGGACGTCGAGGGATTTCTTCCTTCCGTTTTTCTCTTTGCCCTCTCTCCCTTCTCTTTCTTCTCTCTTTCTTTTCTTTCCTGTTTTTCTTTTTTTTACGTCTTTTGGAAGCGGCGGCCAAGAGCGGAGGTATTAAGAGGCGTATGTCTCCTCTGTTTCAGGTCCTGCCACCTTGGAAGGCGGCCAAGTCCGGCAGTATATCTTTCAAAATCCGTACCAACGAAGCTAACGGATTGATCATGTACAGCCGTAGCGGAGCTCACACCAGGGTATGTGGATTTCCTTTGATATATTGTTTTCCTCGCTCTTCTGCTTCTTCTTCTTGATTTCCGCCAAGTGGGTCGAAAATACTGTGGATCCCGATGGCTCGGTAGAGATACCATGCTGACTTATGGCGAAGATACGAATTTTCGGTTCTTGTGCAATTTTTCCACTCGATTTTGTATTATTTATGTAGGTTCGGTTTGGGTGAATGGGCTAAAATAGCGTTGCTTTACTTCTTAATAAGATACAATAAGCTTATACGTAGGTTGACGGCTATGAAAGAAGAGGGATTCGCTATGGGCACGTTCGACTTTCACTTCTTACATACTGACACGCTACTAGCAACTTCCTAAAGACTCTCGGAGACCGTGAAGAACTGTTAAAAGACTGTCGACTCTAGACCTTAGACCGTGGAGACTGGGCTGCCCGCGCCCTTACACCCTTATTTCAAGCATTCATGCCCAGGCTTTCCTTTCCAATCATGCCCCTTTCCCACGAAACCATAAACATTCTTTACAGTTAATTCGCTTACACGCGAACTACTTTCATCCTAAGCCCAAACACACTTGGTATTCTTTCAGGGCTGTACTTATTCCAATCCCACATTTATGTCATTTTGAGGTTCGTTTGCGTCGAGAAATAGAATGGCATGGAATAACGTTCCATGATTTTAGAATTATACTTTTATTTCCATGATGGAATACTTCTAGGATACTACTAATATCAGAAAGATATAAATTAAGAAGAATTTTTTGGGGATAATTCTGATTAAGATATTCTAAATTTCTTGAATTTTAAATTATAAATTATAGTATTATTAAATTATAAATTTCCATTGGAAATGTAGGGGTGAACTGTTGGTCGGTTTGCAAGTAGGTTTACTGGCGAAAATATTCGCTGAGGTGCTATGAAAAAATTCCGCAACGAGCGTGCAGCGAATGTTAAACAGCGATCCATTAATGGACAACTTGATTAACAGGGCCCTTGGAAATTCCGCGGTTCATCGAGACTTTTTCATTTCCCGAAATATTTCCACCCGATGCGTGTTCGTGGTCGCGTCGATGCAATCGTTTCAATTAATCGCCGCGTACCTGCCGGAAATCCACGCGAAACGATCTCGCGTTAAGCTCATTAAAAACCAACCAACCAACTCGATCGACTCGATAATAATCGTGGAAAGATGTGCAGAGGAAAAAGAATCACGAAAATGAAGAAAAGAAATTATGGCGTAACTTCTCTTAAAATATTCGGGAAACTAATCGAGGAAAATGGCAAAATGTTTGGTTCATCTTATTGATTATAAATCATAAAAAACAACAAAAATTTGCTATGGTCTTTTGAAAAATTCGAGTCTTTCGTAACATACCAAATCTGTTTTATTAATAAAAATATAATTTAATAAATTTTATACTAGGTAACTAAAATAATTAAATATCTACCACTCTTCTTTTTATTTTTCTGTAAAATAAAAATATGGGAAATTAATTTCTTTTGTCACCATCTAAAAATTATTTTATTTATTTATTATCGTCGGTGTTAAATTATTACTTCGTACTAGATAACTAAAATAATTAAAGAACTACCATCCTTTCTTCTATTCTTGTGCAAAATAAAAATATTGGAAATTAATTTCTTCTGTCACCAACTAAAAATTATTTTATTTATTTATTATCGTTGGTACTAAATTATTACTTTGTACTAGATAATTAAAATAATTAAATAATTACCACCCTTTCTTCTATTCTTGTGCAAAATAAAAATATAGGAAATTAATTTCTTTTGTCGTCATCTAAAAATTATTTTATTTATTTATTATCGTCCGTACTAAATTATCTATTATCTGTACCCCACTTTTATCTATATAAACCGGTTTTTTAGAAACAGATATAGATAAATCGTCAGAAGGTTTAGCATTAAGCGAGAGGAAGAAAATGGCGGGATCTGAGCGAGTTAATTTGCAGGGGAAAAAATGGAGGGTTGAAAGATAACGAAGAGAAGATGTAGTGGTAGATAATGTAAACGAAAGTCGGAGGCAACGATCGGTGAGAAAATCGATGTTTATTCGAGCGAGAAAAGAAGAGATAACGAAAAGAGATTATACGGAATGGCAGGGGCGGACAATTAAATTACCTGCCACGATCTAAATGCATTTTTTGCCTGATAAAATCGCGGATACTGTTTCAAAAACTGCTCCCTGGAAACTGTTACTCCGAGCTGATACGGGGATGTAATCGAATTTCGCGTTCGCCATTGAAAAATCTGAAATCGTTCGTCGGGGGTTGAAAAGGAGTTCGCGCACCGATGGATCGTAATTCGTAGAAAGGTTGGCATGTTTCGAAATCGTTAATGCTGTTTTATCAATGCATTATCCGTGAATTTTGATTCTCGTGATTCAACGCGATATTTACTCCCCGTGTTTTTCTTTTTATCTCCCCGTGTATGATTCATGGCGAATTCGTCATCGCATGGCGAATATAAACGAAACAAGCGGGAATATTCTACCTTCGGTGATTGTTATTTAAAATATCGTAAATTGAATATGTTCCAATTATATACAATTTGAATCAAAGTACAATCAACTGCTGCCGTTTAAATGTGTAAAATATTCGGGGAAATGGCTTTGTAATTTATGTAAAGTGTTGCGCGCGCGCGTGATTCAATTATTGTAAAAGCAAAAGTATCATTGACGTTTCAAAAATACATAGAGAATGCATCGGTGACAATTGATCGTCGTATGAAAAATTATTTTTAGTAATTTGCTTCGGATAAATTCAATGAATTTTTCATATATAATACCGTGATGCAATTGAAATTCGGTATTATATGAAATTTAATTCGAAAATGATTCTCTTATTTTTTAACGTACGCAGAGGACTCCTCCAAGATGAACAAAATTAATAAACTGGAATGAAAATATATTTTAATATTTTTAGTCTATTTTATAATGCAGAATGTACATATATCTGGAAGATATTTAAGGAAATGGAAGATCAGGTGTGGCATGCCACGAAATCTAATTAAATTCGTATTTTCCCGCGTGAAAATAAACTTTTCACTCGGACCAGCGTAAACAATCTAATATAATTATGTTTACATCTTAGGTTCATTTAATTACTAATTCGTTTAAGTAGAAATGCCTGACAAAAGCGAAAATAAATCGGTTAAGAAGAATAAAACGAAGAGCTCTGATAGAATCTCTTTAGCGAAACGAACCACGTTCGACCATATCGCGTAAAGTTATCGAATCCTTAATTAAACGCCACAAAAGCGTCGACAAAAGAGCGGTCTCCAATTCGCACAGTTCACGAAACCTTGATTGGATCCAAGAACACTATGACTAGGAATTGATGCACTTAGTGACAGGAACTAAAACAAATCTTCACAGAATTAATATAGTTTCTACAATTTATTTAACCATGGTTACAAATTTTATATCAAAATTTCCGGGTCCAAAGTCCAAAAATTTAGGAACCTCGCAAATTTACAGATGCGACGTTCACGAGGTTCCTAGATGTAAAAATTAAATTCAAAAAATTAACCCTTTGCCCTACGATACTACAATCACTACTCTAACTTGCCACGAGTCCTACGTGTCAAGAATCACGATTATGAGACCATAATTCCAATAATTTCTCGAATTTTAATCTAATTTTATCGCGGATGGTATAACCACACAATGACATAACCACAAATTAAATTCAAATACCTCATCGGTATATAATAATTATTTATAATTAAATCTTCGCATAACCGATTTATTCTCCCCAAAGATAGTACAATGATCCGAAAAATCCAAGTTGGATGTTAAAAACATCCAAGACAGGTCAGATATCGGTGGCGCGAATGCAACGAACCTGCAGGTACCGCAGGTGAGGTATCTGGGGCACGGTGTGGCCTCAGCGACAAGGTAGGAAATGCATTTTCGCCACTCGTGCCGCGTTTCGCTCGCGGCTCGCAGTTATCTCGATTTAACAATACCGCCCCGTAATTCCCACAATTATATTTCAACGTTGAAACAGGAACGCAGGGGCGGCGGCGGGGGGTGGCGTTAGCATCGCGAATAATCACGGTTGCGTGGCGCGGAACGGCGCGAAATAAATCGGAAAGTTGCGAAAACCGGGGTTCTCGTTAAGGCCGCGAGTTCGTGCGGCTTGCTCATTAGCAGAATCACCGGATCCCGCGAACAAATGCTTCCCCGGTTGCCGTTCGTGACTGTGGCTGTGGACACCCGTTTCGCTGTTTGTAAATACATATGTTAATACATGGCTATTAGTCGCGAAATAAATGCGACCGGTCAGTGGCGCGTCGTTGCCGCAATTTCGCGAGCAGTGCGCGAGCAAGGGTTCCGGGGGTGCGATCGAGGGTGAATCTACCGAATCTTCCGCGAGGAACGAGGGCATAGAGGGAGGTTTCTTTTCGTTGGGAGAAACGGGGAGAGACTTGGAATTAAGGAGCTCGGAAGTTTCAGTCAAGGGTTGTTTATGATGGGAGGTACAAGGTGGGGTTGCGAGGCAGTTTTATGGATGTATGGAGATATAAATAAATCTGGTAAAGTGAGTTTTAGCGTCTGTGGGTTAGCTAGTCCAGAAATGGATTTTTCTTGTTTTATTCGGATTTATTTGCACCTTTTGATTTACGTTTAACGCTAGAACGTGTAATATCGTGTTATTTAGTGGAGGGTACTCGTGTCTTTTTTCTGAGATTGTGGAACAGGCAGATGACAGGGGTAGCGAGGATTTTAAGCGAGGGTTGTTTATGGTACGATGGTGTGGTGGGATTCTTAGACATATGTAATTACGTATAAATGTGTATATATAAAATAAAATAAATTTTATTGTTTCTTCATAATTATTTCACGATTTAGGGGGGTGTATTTCTGAGTTTGTTGTATGACAATCGTATGTTTATTATAAAATTATAAATTTACACACGCATTATATCATAATTGTTCACTCTCACACTTCTTATATCAATCTGAATTTCCTTATAATATATTGAATCTGATCCATAGCAACTGCACAACACTACGCATTCTAGATCTTCCACTCGCACTTCTAAAAACATACATATCTACATTCGTGCCATTATTCGATCTCACACACTTGCATTCACACTAATAAAACCAAATCCATGGTATTTTCTAATTTTTTAACTTCGCTCTATAACTGGATCTATTTTGTTTATTTATTTTAGCATAAATGGTATCACCGAGTATAGAAAAATATAGGAGAAGCTTCGAATTGTTAAATATTTATATCGAAAATATTTTTCTGTCTTGGAAACTTGAGGAATTATACGTAAATTCTTTTTTAATTATATTGGAACGAAGGGAGAGTGACTCGTAAGCTCTCAGTTCCTCTCGTGAGTATCTAATAACACGTCGTTTCGTTTTGTGCTTGCAGCAGGACCTCTTCGCCTTCGAGGTTTTCGAGGGTCATATGTATTTGCATATCGACCTCGGAAGCGGCCCTGTGAAAGTGAAATCGTCGAAACAACGAGTGGACGACAGCACGTGGCACGAAGTGGAACTTCAACGGATCGAAAGAGAAGGACGTGTCACTGTCGACGGTTCGATAGTCGAATTCCGGACACCAGGTAAGAAACGATACCTCCAAAATTATTTACATCCAACCACACACTTATTTTTATTTTCTAAAACATCCCAAAAGCGGTACCTTAAACGGCAACAAACCCTTGGCTCATTTCTCCTCGAAAAAGAAATGAAAACCAAATTAAACTCTGTCATACTAAAATCCTGGAGCTTCGACGCGAGAATTTTAAACGGTCCACAATTTCCAATAGGAACTCGAAAAAATTTCTTGCTCGCAAAAATATTCGAAAAATTTTATAAATCGATGGACACGTATTTATCCGTGATACACGTTACGCAGAAAATATACGGGAAAATCCCAACGCATAGTAATTGAACGCGGTTAAAAATATAACACGATGTTCCATCACGGAAGGATTTCGCTTGGCAAAAATATTTCATCTTCCAACCGAGTTCTTCCAATCGCGGCCGCGGTAACACGCCGCGTCCTCTTCTCTTTCGTTTAATCCCGCGACGTGTGCGCGGGGATGTATGGTGTTTATCGTTTAATCTACACACGGGCGAAATTCAGAATCCGGTTGCTCGACGACATAAACGACGAAGGAGGGAAAAATGCCAGGGGTCGAGAAGCAAGCCACTCATAATTCAGAGTTACACGCTCGAGGACACTTATCTGCAGGTGCAGCTAACCGTTCCATGCGTGGAACGTAATAAATCTTCCCTCTTGCTTTTTCTACGATCCTCTGCTTTTATTACCGCTTAGTCTATTCGTTAGCTCTGTCCTCCTCTTTTTTGAAAACAAAAACACGTTCACCTTTCTTCCTGTGCTCGATCGAACATGACGATGTCGATTAAACGGGGGTGGTATTTAGATACTTTGAGTTTAAGTGATTTATGAATAATTATTGTAGATTAAATTCGAGTACTGGGTACCAAGGAGTATATTTATCGTGGATCCTTTGTATGAGAAATATTTTCTACGAATATTTTTCAATTTTGGTAAAGTGTTCTTTGTTTCCTATTTTGTTATTTATTTTAAAGTTGACAATTTCTTTTTATTAATATTCGTGAATAGCTTTGGCCTATACCAATTTTATTTTGAGTCTTGGATTTAATTCCATTTTTATAGAATTGTGTTTTACCTTGTCGTGGGACATTATTGAGTGATCGAGGAATATTATTATATAATAGTATTACATACAATATAATTGCTCCCAGTCATAATTAATTTTTCAGTGCTTTCTTAATTCTCAATTCTCTGCTTATTATATAATACTAATTATAAAATCTATCGATGATTATCAGTGAAAGAATTGTGATATTTTTTCATTTTATTTTCCATTGTAACGTCTCAGAGTTGGTACAGACAAATTAAACTTCTGGTGATATATGAATAAGTATGGTAGATTAAATTCGAGTCTTGGGTGCGAAAAAGTATATTTATCGTGGACTCTTTTGTATGAGAAATATTTTCTACGAATATTTTATAATTTTAGTAAAGTTTCCTATTTTGTTATTTATATTTTGTTATTTATTTTCAAGTTGACAATTTCTTTTTATTAATATTCGCGTATAGCTTTAGACTATACCAATTTTATTTTGAGTCTTGGATTTAATTCCATGTTTATAAAATTGTTTTTTCCCTGGTTATGGAACATCATCGAGTGATCGATAATAAAAATGATAATTAAACTACTCTCAGCCGTAATTAATTTTTCACTGCTTTCTTAATTCTTAATTCTCTGCCTATGATACAATACTAATTATAAAATCTACATATAATTACCAGTGCCTGAATTACCATATTCCTTTATTTTATTTTCCATCGTAACGTCCCCGAGTCAGTACAGACGAAACGTCTTCGAGTACTATAATTTCGAACTGACATTGCAGTTCTCTTTATTTCAACGATATATCTTTATTCTCGAATTTACGTCATTGCGAATAACAATATCTCGCAACAGGAAAATCCGTAACCTCGTACATTGGTTCAGCCCACGAACGAGAACTCGAATCCACCATAATACCTCGAAGAAATTATAAAGGACTTCCCGAAGTCACTTCAAAGTCAATCAAAAACTCCTCGCGGACTTAATCGCGAATTTATTCATAACTCTCGGGACTGCACGCTTGTACAGCCGAGGGATAAGAAGTCAAACAAGCGGAAAAGTATAGGGACGGTGATATAGCTCGGTGTGTACGTCGGAGCTTTATTAAACCGATAAATAAACAGAAAACGGAGAGTTTGCCAGTGGCGGATCCTTCATCGACTTCTCTGTCGCCCAGTTCAAATAACGGAACCGAGTCTCACCGCAGAAATCACGTCTCTTCCTGCTACCTCTCCAGCTACCCCCGTCTTGGTCCAAACCACCCCTTCCGAACCCTGTTTCCCTCGACTTTTTGCGCGTGTGTGCACGGCGTGACGTTAAATTCTAGCCGTGGACGATTTCCGGCGACGCCTTTTATCCCCGAGCTATTCGTGATAGTTGGATTTACGATTGCTGGAAAAATAGTCGTGCAGGCAGCTTTAAGTGTTTGCAACCTTACTCCGTGATCTGAGATAACTCGCTTATGGCTGTTCACGAGTGGGCGACTGATCCTTGAATTTGCTTGCTTTGATTTTTCAGACGTTCTTCGCGATGAAGATTATTCGATTCGTTATTTCAAATGATGAGTTACAGAAGGAGTATATACATACATATATACATATATAATATATATTACTCACCACTGACTGCTGACCACTGTCCACTGACCCTTCACCGTTGACCGTTGACTGTTTGCCACCCCATTGGTATCAGCAACCAGACCCAATGGGGAAGGTCCATTCAGTCCGAAGAAAATCCTGAAAAAGAGTTCCTAAATGATCTCGTGATCTATATATAGTCGCCAATTAACCAAAGATCGAAGAAAAGTCACTATCGTTGCCAATTTCGTTAATGATTGCATGTCTTCTATAATAATCAAGAATTTCTTGATTCTTCCGTTTCTATTATAAATTTGTGCTTCGAGAAATTTGTTGCCAACAATTTTAATTTGTTATTAATAGTAAATTTGAATTAATAGTTATAGTAAATTTTGCATTTGCTCTTCCATAGGATAAATTTCTATGATACGTATAGGTTACCTCGTTGAGAGAATTGTGTTATGGGGAAAAATATTTTTGAAGTGATAGGTAATATGTGAAAGAGAGAAGATAATTACTGTGTTTTAGTTATATTTTTAAAAAGTGTCCATGAAGTTAGGTTTTCTATATTTTTTCTGTATTTTTCGTTAAAGGTACGAGGTTGTTGATACATTGTAAAATTTCTCGTGTACATGGAGAGTATTAATGAACGATATTAGAATATGTGTGTACATAGCACTGCAGGGATACGATATTTCAACGTAATATCGGTAATTAAGCCACTTGATGCCAGCATTACAACGTTCTAACATCATAATTAACGATGGAATACAGGAACACGTAACTTCGAAATTTATTATAATATTTTCATCGTCGACACGACGTGCCTGAAGCTTAATTATAATATTGCATTAAATCTGATAAAGAAGCAATAAAGAGCTATCTGCAAATTCGAGAACCCACGTCACGGATGTATCTATAATCGAAAAGCTCGTCAAATATTCTTTCATCTTCCTATCATTCATTCGTCAAATTCAAAATTATCTTAATTGACTAAATCTCAACGCAAAATTATCAGAATTATCGAAATAATATTTAAACGAGTAAAGAATTAAAAAGAATCGTAAGGTTGTACCAAAAAATCGTTATTTCACGTGAAAAGAGGCTATTGTACTCTATCAATTGCTGACTCTAGACAGGAATACGGATACTCGTGGGAGTCGGTGGGGCGGACATTAAAGGAAAGAAATTCAGAACTTCGGTCGAATTGTGTACTTACCCGCCATCCCCGTAGTACAAGTTTCACGAAGCCCTTGGTGGTCACTCGAATTACACGGCCAGTTAATTTGTCCGTGAAACACGCCTTTGAAATCCGACCCTTTAGCAATTTCAGCCTCAAAACTGTGCTTCGCCGCCTCGACTGGACGAGTTTGCGCGAATTCTTGGAGTGTGAACGCTTCCTGCGGGCCAACTACGCTCGTAACACGTGAAAAAGCCCGATGCAACTGGTCCAAGCCCTCGCAATTAGGCTTAGTATATGATTCTAATTGCTGTTCACGCTGAGAATTCCTTTTTCTTCGTTTAAATCCGATATTTCCTTCGTTTCATTCTTCAAATCAGCCCTAAACATAACGTAAAAATTATGAGGACTTTGCCAATAAATTTCTTAATCGAAATAAAAATTAAACAGCAAACTTCAATTCGATTTGAGTAAATATTGAGAAACGGGCAAAATTCGCGGAATATTTCTATTAAACGAGAAGAAAGACTGCGATATAGCAAAGGTAAAACGTTTGAATGGAGCTGACAAGACTGCGTAATTTTAATCTCAATAAATCAAAATCTCGTTAAGAGCACGGGAACATAGGGCACTTGAGCGCGACGTAATTTGCCTGGAACGAAAGAAACACTTGGAAATCCTTTATTTCGTTCTTCTGATGGAACATCCTGCCGAGGGAACATTACCTAAAACCTCAAAGGCGCAACTGAATTAAATCGTCGGTGGCGTTATTCGCGGTAAGAGGAGCGTAATCTGTAAAACATGAATCATCGGAGCTTAAAGCGCGATTACGGCTAAGCCAATAAAATAATCTCCTCCGGAGGGGAGAAAAACCATCCGTATCCGGGGCACCGCGGAAACCACCGACTGGGCGATAAGCGAGAACACGTCGCGGACTTCACGCGTGTTTTTAACGCCGTTCAACTCCATTTCCGGCCGCCTCCGAGTCAATGATTAACCGAACAATTTCATTTTCTTACTCCTAGAATGGTTATCCCGTTAGAAAATACCTGCAGGGAGACGAGTCAGGCTAAAACACGAGAAGAATTTAATTTCCGAAATTATAAAATCACTTGTTGAGGAATACTTCCTTTCCCATTTTCTTATTTTTAACCCATTATTATTTATAAAATCCCATT